CTAACCCTAACCCTAACCCTAACCCTAACCCTAACCCTAACCCTAACCCTAATTACTAGTAACAGCAGCGATCTCTAGTAACGCTCTAGTAGGCGTAGAACCTCCGCGTAAGAGGCGAGAACGTCTACCTAGTAGTAAGAATTCTAAGACGTATAAGAAGAAGCTTACCACCGTAGTAGATATTATACAAGAGGCGGATAACTAAGTAGATAACTAGTTAGATAACGTATCCTCGTAGGTTACCTTGCCGCCTCCGCCTCCGGGGCTTAAGTTTATATACTATACTAGTAAATAAGGGTTAGATAAGCGGTAGAGGCGTATAAGGCTTAACACTATACCAAGCATCGTAAGTAGGTAGTAGGAATATAAGCGGCGAACGAAGAGGGGTACTAAACGGCCTTTTATAAAGCGTCTACGCGAGTCGTACGTTTTAGGTAGTTCTTAGTAGTTATAGATAATAAATATATAGAAAAGCACGAGAAACAACCTCGTTTGTATAAGTCATTAGAGTAGTAATATGGGAGGTAACAGATCGTATCTTCACGATAAGATACCGGTGAATTCCCCGCATTTACCATACAAAATCGAGGTGAGCGAGAGGAGGATAGAGGAAAAAAGAGATAAATGCCGCCGCTATCCGCGGTAACTAGCAATTTAAAAATACGCGGCTAAAGAAGCAAGCTATGCTGGTAAAAATAGAGATCGATTATTCGAAATCCGACTCCTACTAACAACATGGTGCAGGTAAACAGAAAGGGGCTGTTTGTATAGCTAGCAGGGTTTTGGTCGGGCGTCGGCAGCGCCATGCTTGAGCTCGATTGCGTAGCTACTTTCGTGCTAGAGTGCGCATAGTAACTCAAGAGACTCTAAATACCTCCAGTCAGCGTTCCAAACGTTTTCGTAAGAAGGAGCCACGGCCTCGTTGACGGGCGACAATAATATGGCCGGTGTTGAGCCTGAAACACACCATTCTTATGTGACCTCATATTTCACGAGATATGCTAAGAAAATACAAGAGAGAGAAGGATTGTAAGCTATGGCGAACGGCAAGAGACACCCTTACCATTGAGCTGCGGCGGGATTAACCCTTCAGCGGGCGTAAGGTGAGCCATAGCTGACACACATCATATCTGATAAGTCGAAAGCCTCTTGGCGGGGCGATATTCCGACTCCGTCCGTCCGCAAGGTCTTGCGCGAACAACTCCAGTCTAGAGAGACTATGGTCATCCGGTCCCTCGGTCAAACTTCCCTTTCGTACAGTATCAGGGCCATCTGGCCTGGAAGAGAGATGTGAAAGGTTGACTGGACCGTCAGAGACGATGAAAATCAAGGCTTCCGGGACTGGCTCCTTTCGAGAGACGCCTACGGGCCAGGTGATAGGTAGTCCCACATACTCCCCCCACATGTTAAGCCCGAGTGTCTCTTCACCACCTTTTCGGAGCGGAATTCCATCCGAGTAATCGGCTGAAAGAAGTTCGATGTGGCCAGCAATATTGACGTTGAAAAGGGTAACATAAATCATTTGCTGGCTTCTGTTATGCATGTTGATACACCATTGCTGGTTTTCGATCACCTCGACTATCTCTTGCTCGGTAGCAGGAGGACTTGGTTCCGGCACCGTAAAGCCACCGCGCTGGAATGTGATATGAAGAGCAGTTTCGAGGCCTTCGTTTCCGGTTCCACTTTTCAAGGCAAGAAGATGCTTCGCCCGGGCGAGTTTATCTGCTGCTGCGATGGCATCACCAATGATATCTGTCTTGTCAGGATCCTCTACTGACTTTCAGAAGATTTGGATGCCTCTGCTGTCAAGGACGCGGACTTGTCTTCCGTCGATGTCGATCTGCGCAATACTACACTCGGTGGTTCCCTCAGCAGGCAGCCTGAGGAACTTTGAGTTTTGGCTGATGTTGCCGAGTTTGTCGGATCCTGAAGGACAGGAAACCGGCCAGCGGTGGCGCGCTTCGGTGTGGAGGTAAGCAAGCTGACCTCCATGCGCGATGCCTCGACGAGGGTCAAGAGAGACGAGACTCTTGAATGCAGTAGTCTTTCTGACGGTTGCGGTGGTGATTTCTCCTCTTAATCCTGGGATATGGTAGACGTTATCCTCCTTGACACCTGCCACTCTTCCAGCCTGGATGATGGCCTCGCCATCCTCCTCCTTGACCAAGAACGTGTTCTCACTGAAAAGCTCCGTCGAGAACATTCCACGTAAGCTTGGACCTTCAACTTGAGGATGCTGGCCACAAAATTCGGAGGTAACAAGCTCACGGACCCTTTGCATGGCTGTGTTCCATGAAGCAGTAGCCTGCTCGTCAACTCGTGCGCTGTCCTCCGAGATCGCAGCCGCCAGTGATTTGGTGAATGCGCCAATGATCTCGCCTCTCTCGTCCATGTATTCCCAAGCCGTCTCCGAGGTAGCCGCGGCGACTATGCGTACGGCGTAAGGGTTCGCCCTGGCGGTATCCTCCCGACGTTCGATCACTTTGTTTTCGAGCATCTGGTGCAGGTGATCTGTCAGCTTCGCATGCGCGACTTTTGACAGGAATCTCGGCTTCGCATATTTGTGGCTCTGCGGGTCTCTGGCCATGCGCCCGGAATGGCAACAGTCAAGAATGAGGGTGACGTTCTTCGTCTTGTCCGTAGTTTTCCGAAGGAGATCTGTAAGTTCTTCCGTGAGGATCCCATTGAACTCTCCAGTCTCGGTGTCGTCGTAGTCTGAAGGTACGATGAACTGATGGCGCTGAAGCGGAATTGATCCATCAGTGCGTCGAGGCTGGTCGTGGCTTACGTTCACCTCGACAAGACCCCCATGTCCAGAGTAGTAGACAACAACCGCATCGTCTTCACTAGAAATGTCTTGTATGAGCTGGTCCCATGAAGCTAGGATGCTCTCTCGCCCGGCCTTATCGCCGAGGCGCTCGACGATGGTGAATCCACGGGGCTTAAGCACTTGCGCCATCAATCTGACGTCGTTCGCTGTTCCTTTCAGGTCTCCATAGGGGCTCCCTACGAGAAGCGCTCGCTTCGCGCACATTCTAGCGACTACGGTATCTGGTAACAGATTGCGAAACTGCTACTCATTATCAGCGGTTTTGCATGTATGATACGGACTGGCAAAAACCTTTTGGACAAATTAACAAGTATTCTAACCTTGATGCTCTTGTTCCAGCTCCGTCTAAGGGTATCACTACTGGGTACTCGTTGAAGCCCACTTGAAACAAGTAAGATTTGGCGGTGAATAAAGGCCCAGTTCTTTGCCACTAAGTAAACTATTTGACTATGCTACCATAACATATGTGCTTATGCTCAAGGCGTAGGCTAAGACGGCTTTACCTAAAAGCGGATGCAGGCCATCGAAGATCAGCCTAACGTTATGGTAGAGACTACCCGACATTATGCATCCAAGCCCAACGCCAAGGTAGGTGGCTGATCTGGTGCAGTGCGAAGGAATACAAAGATTGTATGTACCATGGGTCCTGGCCTCCAATCGGCCACGTCCCACAATTCCCGCAGACATGAATGGAATAATGTCCCTGCAGCCAAGAGTCAGCAGAAACTATTTTCAGACGCATCAGGCCTTTCGAATGCCTGAAGCTACAGGCGCTGATGTGAGCCTGTGTTCTAGAACTCTTGCTCGGCTCCCTGCGTTGGCCCTCGGCTATAGAGTGCTAAGTCCTCGATGCAGGATGCAAGGCTCAGGGTGGAATGCGTCTCAGTTTCACTCGTCATGAAAAGTCAACCGAGACGTGACGAGACGACAGAAGTCATGCCGAGACGGGACGAGCAAAACGGAACATTACCAAACGGTGACGAGATATGATGCGATGCTTAATAAGCAGATCATAGGTGGGGTGAGGAGTAGGATGTCCCTAATCGGCCCACGTATCTTTTAATGCCTTAGCACTAGATAAATTACTATATATGGTTTTGTGTATCGTCTCCGAGCGGTGACGAGTGACTTGTAACGAGACGAGACAACATATAACGAGACGGGACGTGACTATTACTAATCGGCTGACAACTCGGTGCGGAGTCGTCAACCGAGACGCCTTCCACCCTGGTGAGGCTGAATACGAGAAAAAAGCGACGTGGCCCAATGCTGCTGCTGATTACAGTGCTCTAGCACCCTAACTCTAGGCACGCGCCAGCTGCAGTCCAGATGCTCGTCCACCTTGGCCTTCTTATCTATTTCCCATAACATTAACTATGACGAATGCCACAGCAGTTCTAGACCAATTCCTTCCTCTTCACATAATCCAGGTAGGGCATTAAGTCAGCAGCGTGCAGTTCTCCCAGCAGGGGGCTTTCCAACCAGACGAAGAATCCCTCGAGCCCGACGACTTAACTACGCAGCCACTGCAGGAATTCTCCTTCGTGGATTACCGCGTGAAGGCTTCGGGATTCCATTCGTTTCTATCTACCCTATCTTTCGAAGCACTCAACACGGAGAAATCCACCGCGATCAACATCAGCTCCGCGTCATGCGTATGGTGACAGATTTGCTCCAGCTTGCTTATTTGCAAGCTCTGCAACCAGCGTGCAGCACGCAGGTGGCTCAATGAAATCGCTTCCTAGGGATTAAGACGGAGAGAACCGTTCAGGTGCTTACGTCGCTCGCAGCCGGGGCTCCAGTGGCTCTTATTCCCGACGGTACCCTGGACGCTGGAGCCAACGCAGCCAGATCAGCTACGCAGTTGATCTCCATTGGCCTTTTGTGCCAGGAAATCAGATTATCGTCATCCCGTGTCGCAAGATTTGTTTTCCAAGACAGTGGAACTAGAGGATAGGCGAGATTTGGTTCCAGGAAGCAAACGAGTGAAAGATGTACATAGTCGGGCGAGGCGAGGGTGACGTCGCCGGTAAGGTCGTCTCTACCAACTTCTTTAATGACGTTAAGGACCACGAATTAATGAGTTTCTCCTATAAGACTAGGGGTTTGTTTTAGTAAGATGTTACACCGCGTACTGTAGCAACGCCGTAGTTAGCTTAATTGTCTGAGCAGGGTATAAAACGCCACCGGTTAGCCACCCACTCAGCCCTCATGCCACTCATCTAGTTCCGAAAAACCGTTCGCTTTCATCACCCATTGCAACATTTTTTATCGTTTAAGAGGCTTAGTAAGTGTAATAGACTTCTTACTACGAGAGTTCTAAAGCACCCAATCAGCGTAGACTCCTGTGTGACAATAAGTGTGGATAAGACTCCCTTCTCAACGAAAGGCCATCAAATTGCTGACACGTACACGGTGAGTCGGTCCAGATCGCCGTGGAATCCACAGCTCATGCCAACGATCAACACCCCGATAGTCGCATGACTGCCTGTCGATCGTTTTTGCACTAGTGAGGGAGGGTTGCGGCTGCATTTCGATTATCATAATTGCATGATCCATCGCCAATGAGTGACCTGGGTTGTAGATCGTACGACTATTAAGTTCAGCTGATTATGGATGATGCATGTAAGATGAAAGCAACTAGGATCTTAAATAGGGGTACAACTAAGATTGCTGAGAAAGATGGAGCGGCCTCGAACGTAACTCAAGCCCGAGCTGAATTCCTGAACAATGCTTCCATGCATGCGGCAAGCTCCGCCCACGAAGGCCCTCGACCGCAACGAGCACTTCCAGCCTGCCCACACGGTGTCATGCGCATGATGAGGCACTACGGGGTACGCGAGCTACCATGGGTGCTTTAATTTCTCTCACGTCGTTCGCCTATTTATACCCAGGTCTTCAGGCCTGATGAAGCTTTCACATCACCTCTAAAGATTCATCAACGAACACTCAGTCTCCAGTAAGCCAATTTAGCCCCCCACCAGTGGTAGTAGCTGACTGGAGAATCTCTAGATCCTCATCATGTCGAATTCAGAGAAGTTACTTGAAGATGCTTGGCTTGAGTCCACATCTTTACCCGATGACGATCCGCGACAAGCTCCGCTGCAGCACAAAATTGCAAAGATCCATTTCGAACGCTTTCGAGACGAGAACGACCAAAACGACATTCAAGCTGCGGTTGCAGCAGGGCAGAGAGCTGTTCAACTCGCGCCCCGGAATTGTTCTGTTCTGCCAGAGATCTGCGCCAGTCTTGCGCACATGCTGCATTACCGATTCAAGGCAACAAACAGCTTCGATGACCTGCAGGACGTAATCGAAGGAGCAACGCAGGCCCTATCTGTGGTCTCCGAAGACGATACTGAGGCTGACTCGATACGGTACATTATTTGCACTAGCCTTTACGAGCGTTTCAGCCGCACGCACAACGATGAAGATCTCCGAGACGCAAAGGCAATAGCAACACAGATCACTACCACCATCGAAGGAAGAAATTCGCAATCTCTTCTGTCTGCCTTCGAACAGCAGGAGGCAATGTCAAGATCGACAGAAATGCACCATGGTGTCTTGGACTTATTCCAGGGATATCCTCCCGGTGCCAATTCGGCAGGACCATCCAGCTTTACGACGCAACGAACGAAGAGCACCTCTGCTGAAGAGCGGCAGGCCGTTTTGAGTAGGATTCCCATCAGTGTGTTCGAACTCTTGTCGGAAAACTTTCCTGAACCCAAGAGAGTCGACATTTTACTCTCAATTGCCGCTATACGCGAGGCAAAATATCAAAGTACCGGGGAAACCAGATATCTGGAAGCGCACATAGCAACTCTCGAAAAAGTGTTGGCTATAAGCTCTCTCAGTGAATCACACCGCTTTGAGACTCTTTGGAAGCTTGGAAGCTGTCTTCAAAAACTATACCAAAGCAATAGCAGGACCGAAGATTTGCGGAGAGCCATCGAGAACTTCCGGAGTTGTGCAAAACTCGGATCTTGGACGAAAAGTCCCCTCCACAACCTTGTGGTCTCCCTATGCAGCCTGGTTGATGCTACGAAGGAGCGACATTACCTGGACGAAGCCATGAAATTCGCCGAACAGAACTTGAAGCTGGCAGAGGGCGACGAGGAAAAGATGGCGGAAGCATTGTACTCTTTCGCAATGGTATTGTGTACTGAGTATGACGGCTCGGGACGCCTAGCGGATCTAGATGACGCTATCGCAAAACTGGAAGAAGCGGAGCTACTCTGTCACCCAGAAGTTGATTTTAGGACCGCGATTCTGGAAAACTTATCGGATGCCTTGCATACGAAGTACGACATCACCGGGGATATGGAATGTTTGGAACGATCAATTGCAAGACTCCGAGAGATTGTAAAACGCATACCCGACGATTACCCAGACCCATTGTCACCTTACGCTCGTCTCGGAGGATGTCTGTCAAGCAAGTACAGGAGAACCGGCCATGAGGAGAGTCTTATAGAGGCTGTCGCCCTATGCAAACGGGTCGTGGAAGAGACCCCGCCACAGCACCAGAAGTACGATACATACTTGGGTGTACTGTCCACCGCGCTTGCCGAGATGTACCAACTGAAAGGCGATTCGTGCTACCTGAACGACGCGATTGCGTACCTCAATACCGCGGTTGAGACCATGGAAAACTCATCTATAAGAGACGTCACAAGGAGTAACCTCGGCGACAAACTCTTGGATCGGTATGTGGCAACTGGAAACATTGACGACTTGAATTCGGGAATCGAAAATATGAGAGCCTGCGAAAGTTCTCTTTCTCCACAAAACCCAGGCCGCGCATCAGCACTACAGATCTTGGGTAGACAACTTGGACTGCGCGCCGTAACGCACAGAGATTTCGATCAAACACTCCGCGACTTGTCAGAAGCCAAAACCTACCTTCGAGAATCTGTGGAGTCCCCCTCTGGAAAACCGCTCAATAGGGTCTATAGTGCACGCCTCTTTATGGAGGTGCCCTACATCGAGCAGGATCGCGAGAACGCGAATGACGTCGCGACGATAGCTTTGGACCTGCTACCCTATGTCTGCGGACGCCATCTCCAACGTGAAGACCAAGAATATGCAGTTAGTCAAATACAAGGCCTCGCCGCCGATGCGTGCTCCATTTCGATCCTACTTAACCGTCCTGAGGACGCTTTACAACGAGCCGAGTATGGCCGCGGTCTTGTCCTTGGAAACCTCATCGATAGAAGAGATGATGTCGTCGAGGTTCGACGACAGTGCCCCTCGCTCGCAGACGAGTACGAGAGTCTCCGCAACAGAGCGTTCCAAATCATCGACTTCAGCGGCTCAAAGGACTGGGAACAGCAAGCACACGATAGGAGACAAGCCTTCGAACAGCTCGCCACCTGCGAGGAGTCTATCCGCAAGCTTCATGGGCTTGAGGACTTCCTTAGGCCTGCCTCGACTGAGCGATTGCAGCAGTGCGCCAGGGATGGGCCCATTGTCATCGTCAATGTCACACATATCTGCTCGGGTGCCGTCATTGTGACAGAATCGCGCCTAGAGATTGTTCATCTTCGGGATATGGAATCTGATATGCAACAGTTTGTGAAAGAACTGCTTGAGAAATATCGAGCGACTGCGGTCAGCAGAGTCGGCGCCCAAAGAGACATGAAACCAATACCACGCGCCTCACCAAGCATACAAATGCTAGGATGGCTTTGGCGCTGCTGCGTCCATCCAGTATTGAGCAGGCTGAGCGATATGGAACTGATATCGGCTTCAGGAGAGTCTCGTGTCTGGTGGATCGGATCAGGGGTGGCCAGCTCACTCCCCTTCCACGCCGCTGGAGAATTTAGCCCGGACTTTCTCAATGTGAGAAACCCGGGCCTACCCTCTTCTTGTTTGGACTGGATCGTACCATCTTATACACCGACGATCAAGGCATTGGAACACTCACGAGCGCATGCCAATGCCTTGAAGCTTCCCGACAAACTTTCAGTCCTTGCCGTTTCGATGCTCCAGACTCCGGGGCAGATTGACCTACCAGGGGTTGGAAAGGAAATCGAAGCAGTGAAGGCCATTAATGGTCAGAACTGCCAGATGTCCAACCTCACGCTGCTCGAACAACCAACTGCACAACAGGTGTTGGATGGCATCCTACGGTCTCACATCGTCCATTTCGCTTGCCATGGCAGTTCAGATGCTGTGAATCCATCAGGGAGTCATATCATTCTTCAGAAGCTAGACAACTCAGGCCGTGCGGTTGAAGATAAGCTCACAGTTGCGTCGCTGCTCGACTCCATAGCCAAGGAACGCGGTTGGATCGTTTATCTCTCGGCATGCTCTACAGCACAAATTAGAGCAACGGAATTCGCTGATGAAGGGATTCATCTCGCGAGTGCTTTCCAGGTGGCTGGGTTCGCCAACGCCATCGGCTCTCTGTGGTCCGCCGATGATCAAACGTGTGTCGATGTTGCCCGATACTTCTACAAAGCGCTGTTTGAGGGAATAAGCCAGTCACAAACTGTAAAGCCAGCCATCGCTCTGCGGTCTGCTATCATAAATGTTCGGTTCAAGGGAAGAGAACTACAACCTCCTGATCTTTGGGCGCCTTTCATCCACTACGGTGTATAACGATTTCTCTACATTATTTTCCTTGATTTCGTAGGAATGCGTAGGGTCCTAGTTCATATCTGAATATTAGAAGAATAGGAGACTACTATTATGTGTTTACTCTCGTGCTGATCTCCCGTAAGCGCACTTTTTTCATTATAATTTCGCGTACGCGCCGTTCTACCGCTTTTTTAAATTTTTATACTTTTAGAATTAACCTCTATGTTTCTAGAATAGTCTGTAGATAGAGTGATGGAGTTGCCTTCTAGAACGGTGGTAATACTTAATATAACGGTAGGCTCCTTCTACTAAGCTTCGAAGTCGCTTAGTAGGTGGTTAAACTGTAAGAGTTTATCTTAAAGAGATAAGAGAGAGAAGATAATAATTAAACTAGAAAGTATTACGTAATTGTGCGATGTATAGTAAGCCGGTTATCTCTAATTAAAGGGTCTTAATTAGAACTTTAAGTTAACTATAGAGGGTTAAGTGTCTAGCTAAGAAGTATATCTATATACTATAGAAAAGCTAGTTATAATCTAGAGTTTAGAGGTTTATTTAACTAAGTCTTTAAACTTTTAAACTCGAGGTTTAATAGTTTAGCTTATTAAGCTTTTAAACTTCTAAACTTTAGTAGATTATACGTAACTTAGACGCTTAGAGTACTTTTTAATATCTAACTTCTATTCTTACTAAACGGTCGCGACGTTATACTATATCTTATTCGTTTTCTCCGCTTATCTACTTTTTAACTTTCTATCTTTACGTATTACTTCGAAACGATTATACGTCTAGACCTCTAGTTCTTAGTCTAGTCTTATAGTCTCTTATCTTATAGAGGATTTTCTAGTTCGTACTTTCTTCTAAAGTTATCGCGCTCTTATAGATATTCTTTTCGTACGGGCTTTAGCTACTATCTACTAGTATTTTCGTACGTACTATTATTTCGTATTCTTTAGATTTCCGTACGGGATCTAAGACCGTACGACTCTTTCGCCTACGAGGCTTATTAGCTCTTATAGCGAACTTTTTCGTACGGGATTTCTATTTTTAGAGTTATAAAACTCGTATTTCTTAGGGTTCGTAATATTATCTCTTTAGTAATCACCTCCGCCCTATCTCTACTTAACTAGTAATATCTACTCGGTAAATAACTATCTACTTAGTCGCTATATTAGTACTTTTTATATATCGTAACTCTATACTCGGCTAAATAAATAAAATACTCGCCCGCTATCGTAGTCTAATATCGAATCTACTCTTACTAATAATACTACTATTATTAATATCGTATTTAAAAAGATTTCTTCTTCTCTTCTTCTTTTCTTCTATAGCGGTCCACTACTATATTTTATTCTATTCTTAAGCTTAACTCTAATCTACTACTCTATTAAAATACTTACTCTAGCCGGCGGTTCTTATCGTATACCGCCGCCGTACGCGGTCTACTAGATATATAGAATATCGTATTTTTATCGCGTAAAAGAGCTCTATTATATACTTAAGTTCCGCGTTAAGCGGGCTATTTTAATCTAAATTAGTTATACTCGTAACTCTAAGCTATTTAGCGACGTTCTTACTCTAACCGTCTACGCGAGAGAGTAAAGAACGTTAAGCTTAACCCGTCTTTTACTAACTCCCTTATCGTACCGCCTTAACGCCGTTAAAAAGCGATATAAATTTATTAAAAGCTACGTAGAGTCGCGCTAAGCCTAAATATCGAGTTTATATCGCGATTAGAGCTAAAAATCTAATTACTTTCTATATATCTAAATAATTACTTTCTATTCTTCGATCGCGTACGGGCCTACTAATAAATTTATTACTTTCTATATAGAAAGTAATTACGAATCCGATCTTCTATAGATTAGAAGTCTATATATTAAATTAATTAGAGTCTATTCTTCTAACGTACGGACCTATAAATACGATTTTATTAGAGTCTATAAGACTCTAATTATTTCGCGGGTCTTCTATAGATTAGACGTAGTTTTTAATAAACCGACGATAGAAGTTAGTAAAATCTAAGAAGAATTATACTTCTTAAAGGTTTTAGAGTATAGACTAGCTAAGAATAGATTCTACTTTCTTAAAGTCTATTATAACCTCGCTAGATCGAATAATAAATTCTAAAAACTCTACTTCTTAGACGTAAAACGCGTATTTTTCGGGCTTAACTTATAGCTTTTTTTTCTATAGCTTTTTAAGTACTTTTTCTACGTATTTCTAGTATTCTTTTAGAGTTTTAGAGTAGATAAGAATGTTATTAAGATAGGCCGTATAAAAAACGTCTAGATATTCTTAGAGAGTATCGTTAATTATAGCTTAGAAGATAATAAAAGCGTTAGTAAGTTCGAAGAATATAACTAAATATTTAAATAGTCTAAATTAGCTTCGCTATATCGTTTTTTACTCTTCTTTCTTTTTAATTTAAATTAGATAGTAGTCGTCTTTAAGGTCTAGCTTAGTAAAGTATTTTATCTTTTAAAGTCGGTCGCGTAGTTTATCGATACGAGATAGAAGATATTAGTTCTTAATAGTAATATCGTTTAGAGCTTAATAGTCTATATATAGTCGTAATTTTTTATCTAGTTTCGGTATAAATAGAATAGAGGTAGCCGTCGAGAACTAAAATAGTCGTATATAATCTTTTTTTAGATAGATTTCGATATATTTTTTAAGTATCTAAAGTTCTTTTTTAGATATAAAGTATAAGAATCTAAACTTAGATATAGTTTCTAGTATTAGAAGTATTTTATAATTCTATAGTTAGTATTTAGATAGAGCGTTCTCGCTTATTTTTTTCTTAAAGAGGTCAAACTTATAGTATCGTAGAGATATATAGTCTAGATAATTCTCGATATTAGTAGCGCTAATTTATCGTAGATCGTATTTTATACGTTCTTAGAGGTTTTAAAGTTTCTAGAGATTAATAATTTGTTTTCTAGAAAGATAAGCGATTTTATAAACTTATCGAACCTCTAGAGATTATTAGGTCTCGATCTTAATTTTCTAGAGGATAATACGTATCTAGAAGATTTTCGTAAAGGTATCGTTTTTAACTTCTTTTCTAAGGGCTTTCTTAAAGATCTTACTAATTATTATAAACTCTAAAGAATACGGGCCTTATAACTCTAAGAGTAGAAGGCCCGTACGAAAAAAGATATTATAGAGGCCGAGAAGCCTTATAAGCGAAGAAGTTGTACGGCTATAAATTTCGTACGAAAATCTAAAGAACGCGAGATAACGGCGCGTACGAAAATACTAGTAGATAGTAGCTACGATTCGTACGAAAGAATCGCTTTTAAAGGCGCGGTAGTACGAAAAGAAAGTACGAATTAGAGAATTCTCTATAAGACGAAGAACTATAAGGTCTAATTAGAAACCGTAGGTCTAGGCGTATAATTATTTTAAAGTAGTATATAAAGATAAGAAGTCGAAAAGTAAATAGAAAGAGAATCGAGTAAGATATAATACGATATTACGAACGTACGGCGAAAATAGAAGTTAAATATTAGAATCGTACTCTAAGCGCCCCGGTTACGTATAGAATCTATCGGAAATTAGTACTAATTTAGAGTCTATCTAAATTATAAGAAATTTAACGATAGAATTAGATTATTATAGATCTAAACTTCTATAGATTATAACTAGCTTTTCTATAGTATATAGATATACTTTTTAGCTAGATACTTAATTCTTCGTAGTTAACTTAAAGTTCTAATTAAGACTCTTTAATTAGAGATAACCGGCTTATTATATATTATATAATTACGTAATACTCTCTTATCTAATTATTATCTTTTTTCTCTTATCTCTTTAAGATAAATTTTTACGGTTTAACTATCTACTAAGTAACTTTAAAGCTTAATAAAAGAAGTCTACTATTATACGCGCTACCTTCTAGAAAATTAAGATTAAAATCTAATAATCTCTAAAGATCTAATAAGTCTATAAAATCGTCTACCTTTTAAAAAAACGAACTATTAATCTATAAAAACCTCGAGACCCTTAAAGGCGTATAAAATATAATCTACGATAAATTAGCGCTACTAATATAGAAAACCCTCTAGAATAAGTATCTCTATAATATTATAGCTTCGACCTCTTTAAGAAAAAAATAAACGAAAACGCTCTACCCGAATACTAATTATAAAATTATAAAATATCTCTAATACTAGAAATAACGTTTAAATTCGAGTCTCTATACTCTATATTTGAAAAAGAACTCTAGATACTTAAAGAATATATTAAAATCTATCTAAAAAAAGACTATATACGACTATCTTAGTCCTTAACGGCCTTCTTTATTCTATTTATATTAAAGCTAGACGAAAAATTACAATTATATATAGATTACCGGTCTCTAAACGATATTACTATTAAAGATCGATACTCTCTACTTCGTATCGATAAACTACGTAATCGGCTATAAAAAGTAAAATACTTTACTAAACTAAATCTTAGAGACGACTATTATCTAATTTAAATTAAAGAAGAAGAAGAGTAGAAAACGGCGTAGTAGAGTAGATTTGAACTATTTAAATACCTCGTTATATTCTTCGGACTTACTAACGCTTTAGCTATCTTTTAAGCTATAATTAACGATACTCTTTAAGAATATCTAGACGTCTTCTATACGGTCTATCTTAACGATATTCTTATCTACTCTAAAACTCTAGAAGAATACTAGAAATACGTAGAAAAAATACTTAGAAAACTATAAAAGAGAAAGCTATAAGTTAAGTCTAAAAAGTCCGTATTTTACGTCTAAGAAGTAGAATTTTTAGAATTTATTATTCGACTTAGAAAAGTTATTATAGACTCTAAGAAGATAGAATCTATTCTTAGCTAGTCCGTATCTAGAAACCTTTAAAAAGTCTAATTCTTTTTAGAATTCGCTAACTTCTATCGCCGGTTTATTAAAAACTACGCTAAGCTAGCTAAACCGCTAATTTAACTTACTTAAAAGAATACTCGCTTTAATTAATAAAGAATATAGTAGAAAGCCTTCGAACTACTTA